AGTAAACTTGCAGTTTCTCCCGCCAAACACAACAGCAAAGTTGCAGCCGATGGACCAGGGTATCATAAAGTGCTTCAAACAGTCTTATCGTAAATGGCTTGTCAGAAAAATGATCTTAAATATTGTAAGCATTTAGAAGATTTGTAATTAATAAGCATTAATTAAATAATCCGACAATATTTTGAAAGTCCAAAACCGAAACTAACGGTAAGTCGAACTTCCGATATGTCGAAGTTTTTCGTCAGTCCTATCAGATTCGAGTTATCGCGAATTCACTGTATATTAATACAATAGTGTAAGGAGCACTGAAAAAATTTTTTTTACAAAAATTACAACAAATAAAATGGAACACAATAAGTAAAAATAACACCTAAAAACAGGAAATAAAATAAAATAAGAAGAAACAGAATAACTCATAATCTATTAAGCAAGTAGCGAATTAATGTACTTACATGAACGGGAAATTTTTCAAGAATGATTTAAAAAATTTTTGATTGCCAGATTGCAAAATATGAAAACAAAAACGCAAATTGAGCGTAACTAAAGGAATTTTGTTTTAAAGTGCCGTTCTTACTGCATTGCTGAAGTGCGTTTGATTTGTTAGTTACCAAGGATGGGCCCGAAATAGATGTGCGCAAGGTAATATTATACTGGATAATTTAAAGAAGTTGACCATAAATAATTTTAGAAAATTGTTATATATATATATACATATATTTTGTTATATATATAATATTGTTATGTATATATATATGGTCCACGATATGGATGACCCACGTAATTTGAATGAGTGATAACAATACAATAAAAAAGATACTGCTTTTTAGACCTACTGGAACAAGAAAGAGGGGATGGCCGGTATTAAAATGGGCTGACTCGGTGGAGTCTGATTTTCTTGCAATTATTGAAAAGAATTGGAGATCAAAGATAAATCGTAAGTCGTTATGGAGAAATCTTCAGAGGAAGGCATTGGCCCACATTGGACTGTGTGACCAACTATGATGATCATATATATATACACACACAATATTCCATTCTTTGCAGGGCATTCATATTTTTTACAAGGGTTACCAAACTTTTTTTCTTTAAGGCCACATTGACTTTTCTATTAAGTCCTAATTGTCAAGACCTAGGAAATGAAAGAGATCTCTTTTTGGCCAAAAAAGGAAAAAAAAAGAAAAAGAAATGCTTTATAATGGTTTTTAGGACTTGGCACTTATTCCACCAAGGCATTTTAATTTTGTTTTCACTAGTTATATATAGTATGCTGGACATATTTGATGTACAACCATTGGCTACATTGGTGATACTGATGGGCTGATTTTGGCCCAGAAATCTTGTTTATAAATCTCTTGAAATTTTGTTATTTCACATCAAGTTTTTTAATATACTCAAATGTAGTCTAATAATTGTTAATAAATAGCACTCAATGTTATTATTTTAAGTTTTTTTTTTCTTTTACTCTTCTCCTTAAGAATTATTGCTTTGAATTGTAAATTTTTTAATACTTTTTTCTTTTGTAGATATTTTGAAATTTGATAACTCCTTCAGTTGGTGTCGCCGTAAACACATCCTTTATCAAGTTCATGTCATCCCTGCTAATGATGGAAAAAACATGGGTTATTAATTTGTATTTATTTATACATGTATTTATGTTGCCTCTTGTTATTGTATGTTTATCCATGTTCATGTTATTGTTATAATTGGGCGTGTTCCAATGTTGTAGTTCCTGCACTTACGTATTAATGTTTTTAGGTGCCTTCTGTATTTGGTAATGAAAATTATTTTTAAAGTTGCGTTTAATAAATTTTTAACCAAATCTATAAATTTTTATGTAAAATATTCATTTTTTAAAATTATTTATTGAGGCAATCTAGTCTAAAATCTTTTTTATATTTAAAGAAATTATTCTTAATTTAAAGAGGTATATAAACCTCTAGAATGTAGTCAGTCGAAGAATTTGTTTTAAGTGATATGTGAAAAATGTACATATTTTTTTAAATTCTAGCATTTTTTTACATGCATATTTTATTTTATTGTAATGTATAAATTAAAAGGAGAAAAAAAATTAGAAATTTATAGCTTCTTTGAAAATTAAAAGTTGTTAATTAAGCGATTATTTTTATAACCTAACTTTCTCTGTCAATTGAAAACCTATAATTTATTTTTATCTGTTTAACGAATATATTTAAATTTATTTATTTTTCATTTCTCATTTCAAATGAATTTTAATGGTTTATTGATTTTAAGAAAGCAGTGCATTTGAGTGTAAGGAAAAATTGAAAAGGAGGATGTGTTTATTCATAGATGTTTACATATATAAACTTAATTTAAGGATGTTAACTGTTTAACTCAATTCTTACTCTACTGATATTATCTCTATATGGATGTTAACTCCTGCAGAATTTAATCCTTAATTTTGTTAATTTATAAGATTCTTTTTAAATTTGTAAGAATAATTTTTTTAGGTATGTATTATAATTTTATTCTCCCAACATTTATTCTCCCTAATTTTATTCCCTCTCTCTTTTTTGTTGTTTTTCATCATTAAGGTTTTGTTATGTATAATTGATAATTATTTAATTGGAGTTTTTTAAACCACTAATACACAAACAATTTGAGTAATATAGTAAATTCTCTTCTAAAGTAAAATCTAAATTTTAAAATATTCTGTTTTTAAAAAATTTCATTTGTGTTTAGTTTCAAAAGAATATGTAATAAAAATACTAATCCTAAAAGAGAGAGTTTTTTTAAGGCTACCCATTGAATTAGATTCCCTTCTCCCAAAAGAATTTGTTTGAATTATTCGGTCTGAATTGATATTAATGGTACAGGAATTTTTATGGTTCTATTACAGGTAATGAGACATTATCACTTTTAGAAAACGTCTCCAGCAATTATGGAAAGAATAATGCTGTAAATCAAAAATGATTTTGTAAATCAAAATTTAGTTTTAGCTTAAAATAAGAAATTATTCACTGTTGGATTAAAGATAGATGTAAATATTCACTTTCTTTAAAAAAATATCATTGAAAATTATAAAGTATCTGTCCATAGGATTAGTATCTGTTTAAGTTAACATTCCAGCCTGCATTAATTATATTTCAAAACATTTTTAAGATAAAAACGTATTGATCTATATTTTCATCGAAGGACATTCCATGTTAAGTATACATGTATGATCTTATAAAGGGCTGTGTTAGCTTTAGAAAAGAACACTACTCCCAATTTCATTATGTTTTATTTGTTTTGGCACATGAACAACTGTCATGTGAACACGCAATGTGGCAAAGTATGTGCCAAAGTTTTAAAACCATTGTCTTTTATTGTATCTTTTTACAACCATCTTTACTATATTTCTAGGTTTTATTATCTTGTGATTGTTTATTTACATCTCTGTGTATTGTCATTACTGTCTGTGACCTTTAAAGATCTTTATGTTGAAAGCATTTTACGAAATGCTACCAACTTTTTCCTGGTGTTCAAACATGTTGTACTTTGCTATTACATAATCAGGTAGACCCCATTTCCACCTGTTTCTTCTCTTCCAGCAACCTTTTCTCTATAGGTGTCTTTATTAAAATGGATTTGTTGAAGATAGCCTCCAACAACTTGTGCATTCATTAAGTCTGCGAATAACCATGACTCAAGCTAAAAGAAATTTTAAAAGATAGATTGGTTGGAGGGCCTTTAACTAATCTGTCTTAAAAACATGCTCTTTATTTATATAATGCATGGTTGTGGTGCTGTGATTAAGGGAAGAATACTGTACATGTATCTGTTTTAAGCTATTAAACTGTTGTGGCAGCTACATAGGAGATAAATGAAATCTAAACAATGAATCTAAATCAGATCAGCGGAGAAATCTCCCTTAAATTTATAAATAAATTTGAAATATTATTAAAAATTATTTTTTAAAACTTAAATGACTTTTGATAATCTTTTTTTTTTAATTAACATGTTTCTAGATTGTCTTAGACTTAGATTTGGTTTGTGTAGATGTAAATTTTTTCAAAATTCTTACAAATTTTCATTTCTAAATTATTTGTTTCCTTATACTTGCAGTCTTTGTTTCCTCTTCGTGAATTTTTTAATTCAAGTGATTTAACTTGATTTTTAGAACGTTCATAGTATTATTCTAATCTAAGATATTCGAAGAAAAAAGTATTTGCATTTGAACTAACAGATGAGATTCTCTGTATATCTATGATTAGTTTGACAACATTAGATTTAACAGTACCCAGAAAAAATATCCCCAAAAATTTGTCAAAAATAGCATAATCTTAAATGCCTGAAGTGTGCATTGTTAAACCTTGACGTAAATTGCATCTTTTTATTTGCTTTGATTTAACTAAATTACTTTGATTTGTTTTACCAAATAAAGGAGCATAAAATGTTTATCTACTTAAATTTTTAACTTGTAGTTTTTAATTTTTTTCTTCATAAATTCATTGATATAGTTTCTAATACACTTTTTTAAATGATATCTTGTATAATATCTAATACTTTCCTAATTATGTTAAATCAACCCATTGTTTTCAAAATTTAATTTTATATAAATAATAAATATTGTTAGTAAAACATGTATGTCAAGTCCTTTTTGAATTTAAATCCAAGTGTACTTAGTTAACAAGTTTAAAAAATACTAACATTACCTGTACATTTAACTATTATAATACAAGTAAATATCCTCTGTAAGAATCAAATAATAATACATAAAATAGTCGTATACTTGCATACCATCAGTTTAGTAACATAATTGTAATGCTCTAATATCTAAAACTATGCTATGTTTCGACACTTTTAGAGTGTTTTTACATTGCAGTTAAAAAAATAAGCCTATTATTTATTAATAGACGATAAATGTTAAGCAATGAAATTCACAAAGTTTCATAGTTATTGTTAAAAAATATAATTATGTATTTCCTTTTATGTTAAAGGTTTTTTTTATTCTTTTTTTGCAATATTTTTTCTCTTTAAATTTTTTTTTCAATCGTCCGACAAGTTTTGAAACTCAAATTCTGTCCATACCATTATTTTCAATAATTTTTTCATCTAAATTAATTGTTTTCCTCCAAATTTTTATAAAGTCTTTAATATAGTAAAATGGAAATGGGGCCTTAGGATGTGCATATAAATATTGTTGTGTGTGTAAATGTTGTGAAAAAGAAATATGAGTGTTGTTTGTGCTTTAATCATTATAAATATCTAAATCAGGGGTTCCCAAAATATGTGCTGCAGCATCCTGGAGTGCCGGGGAGTGAGGCGACATGAAGAGTCCGTGATTTCAAGTCCAATATTGATCTATCACTATTTTAAAAAAAAGAGTATTAAAGTAGAACCAATAAGAGTTTTGAATGCATATAAAAACTGAGTGAAAATGCTTTGAGAGTTCTCATTCCTGTTACTTATATAAATAAATATTGAGAAAGAAATAGGTTTAGCTACACCAATATTTATTCCATGATTTGAAAAGTTATATAATGAACAGTAAGCTCACTTATTGCTCTAAACAATAACTTATTATATTACTTGATATTATATAACTTATATTATTATTAATAACTTTAACACTATATTGTAATCAAAATTAAAATACTTGAGTGGATTTTAAGGACTAGATGTGTAAATTATGTTCATATTCTCCCTACTTACTTTAATAGTCGATTACATATGAAACATGTTTGTATATTATAATTTTACCACAGATCAACATAACTGGAGTGATGTTAAGTTATTTCATAAGGGTGCATCTGTTTGGTAATCTAACGGTGCTGCAACTTAAAAGTTTGGGAATCCCTGATCAAAATCATATTGTTTGACTTTCTATATTATCTTGATATGAATTGTGCAATAATTTTCTATATCACGTTATGAATTGTGGAATGTACTACTATATGAGTATATAAATATCATGCACTTCTTAGATTTAAATATATTTAGACTTTTGTTACATTTGTATAAGGCAATTGAAGATGAATATCAAATATCTGTAACAAAAAAAAAATATCCGATTTTTTTATTTTATTGATAAGGCAATACTTACAGTCGTAATTAATATAAATGATGTATTGGCACTGATATCTCTGCTAGAATATGAAGTACTTTATGATAGACTTTACTTTGCAAAAATATTAAGGTTTGAAGTAAAATATTTGTTAAGACTAAAAGGTTTAATTTTTCTCAATTTTAAAATTACAAGAATGTAATTTCCCATAAAAAATCATTGAAATTTATTTCCTTTATATTTAACTGTTATATAATTTTATTTAAAATAAATCGCAAATTTTTCAACTTTACAATTTGATTTTGTTTAACTAAATTATAATTTGTCTTTTGTTAAATTATTTCTTTTTATTATAACAATTAATAATTTAATTGACTTAATATTTGTTTTCAACCAAAAATAGTTATTAATAATGTTCTAACAAAGTTTAGTAAATGTTACTAACTTGTAATTTATTAACATAGAGTAAACATATATATATTATAGCAGAGATTTGAGCTATTAAATAGGCTAATAATTAATATTGTAATTCTTTAAATTATTAATTTGTTTTAGAAAACTCATTAACAAACTATTAGTATTTACTATAATTGAAATAGATACTTAAAATTATGCATATAAATTCAATTTTATTTTATTAGACTGAAATTAAATTGACTATAAATCCAGTTGAATAATATGTTACTTGAAATTTAGACAAGATAAAACTTTTTTCAGCAATTGAAATCTAGATTTGCAACATTGTAGTCTTTCTATATAGATAAGCACATTTGTAAAACTCTTTTGAAAACAGTGCTGGTGCCATGTACTTTTTTAATAGTGTTCATACATTATAAATCTGAAATGTTCAATTTTGTTGTAAGGCACACTAGATTTTTCTGCTGTGCTGTTTGCCTTAATAAAAGAACTTTACTGATGCAATTTATCTATGTTACAGTTTTTAAGTGTGGTATTATAATCATTTTACTATTAAAATATGAAAAACAAAACAACTTTATCAAAAAAATTAATGCAAATTTTTTTTATACATCTTATTTTTCTCAGTAAATTTTGTTTTTGCATGAGCTTTTGCAAAATAAATATATAAAATAATAGATTTTATCTATTTTATAAATTAAATCTTTACAGCATTAATAAGGAGAGCAAATTCATATGTTATAGATAACTAACTGGTATATTGACTTTGTTAACAGCTAAGGGCTAGTAAGTTTACATTATACGCACAATTGTGATCCATAGCACAATAGCCTTGTTGTTTATAAGAGAAATAATGTTTTGTGTATACATACAGTTAAATGAGATAATGCTTAACTCAAGTATATAGCTGTAAAAGTTTTTATGAATAGTTTATTTATAAAGTTATAAAATTTCAGAATTAAAAAAAAAGTGAACTAGTAATAACTGTTTCTGAATTATTGTTAATTCTATCTTGGCACAGTGTATCAATTATAATATTTAATATTTCTACAATTACTTATAAAAAAATTACTTATAAAAGTGTACTACCTTTTATCATTTACTTTAATTCCATTAATTTTGGTTTTAAAAAATTGTTGCTTTGCTATAAATTATCTACTTTAATTCCATTAATTATGCTTTTTATCTTTCTTATAGCTAAGATACAGTTGCATTTTTAAACTTAGTTATTAAATTATTCTTCGATGGTACTTGTATTTATCATAAGAGTATAGTACTATAGTACTATACTCTTATGGTAAATACAAGAATCATAAAATGACTCTTGTATTAGTATTATTTTGGTATGACTTTATGGTAACTGTAAAATAATTTAGTTTAGTGAAAATTTAATTACTTGGATATAATTATTATGTAGGTTATTTTTAGTAGCTATTTAAGTTGTGAGATAAAAACATTTTTATATTAAAGACGAACAATTAAAGCATTCATTTTTAAAAAAGAAACAAATTTTAAATAATATCAAAACAGAATGTGTTTTCAGATAAATGTTAACATTTTGTTTCCAAAAAGTCATTTTTAGTGTTCTAGTGTAATTCTGAAAACTGTCACTATTTTACTGCCACCCACTATAAACAAAATATTTCACACAATAAAATGTTCAGCATTTAAAAAAAAAAACATGTTTCAAAATTAGACTGTGTTACAAAACTAATCGCCAAATTAATTCAAAATAAAAATGTGTTTAATCTGTGCTATTTTTAATTTATGGCACCAGCTCTGAATACATAAACACTGTGTGCCATTGTAATTACCCTGAAGCCAGTCAATTACTTCAGGTATTTTCATCACCTTCAGTGATAAATAACAACGAATATTACTTCACTCTTCAAATCTTACGGTATTGCATATTATCTGTGATGAATTATATTTACTATATACTTATATCTATTATACATCTATGTGTATTAAAAGCATGATTGTTTTTTTCCAATAAATAGCTCCATAGATAAGAGCCTTTTTTTGTTCATATAGGAAATTGATAATCGTTTTTAACTGTTGCATTTTCTGAAGTAATTGTGTTACTGCTGTCATTCTTGAAGTGTATGAGCGTAATGTTGGTGTAGAGCAATAAATTCTTCAAAGAAATAATATTCATATAGTCTTTTTCAGTTTCTCACATTATTTTTATCACTTTGCAAAAACCAAGCTAAGGGTATTATTTTTATCTTAAGACTTTTTGTCTTTTAAGCTACTTAAAGTGTTTCATTAGAATTAAAATACCATTGTTTACAATGTTATTGTAGTGTTGTTATTCAGTGTTTTTACATTGTTATTGTAAAAACACTGAAAATGAAAGATTATCTATAATATTAAATTGTTGCGTAACACACAATTATTTCAGAAAAAAAGGAAAATTATTATTTTAGTGATTTAGTTTAAATCCTTAAAAATAAGCAGATGGTCAAAAATTATTTTATTCCAAAACTTTTTATGTATTAAATAAATAATCCCAAGGAACTGAAGCGGTAAGATATTACTTTATTAAAAAACTTCAAGAATGTAGATTGGATATAACAGTCAACATGCGTCAAACACTCTAAAAATAGACGTCCCTTTTCAAAACTTCCCAGACGTGAATGAGAAGAAACAGAAGTGATTTGAAATAATAAATGTTTTAATTTTTATATTTCAATTCACTTTTGTTTTTTCCTTCATGTCTGACAAGTGTTGAAAACAGGAAATGAAATTTTTGAGCATTGGAAGCATGCTGACAGTTGTATCAAATTTGTATATTTTTGAAGCAAATAAAGATTTTTAAGTAAATTTATCAACATTCGTTCCTTAAAATTCAAAGAAAGTACAGTGACTGCCACTTATACCAATGATCTACAAAATAGAGAGTTATGATTTCTGAGAAGTTATACTGAACTGTCATTGTGAATAATTGGGGTTCGATTCCTCTTTCAAGTCCTTATTTTGAAGCCCACATAGCTTTAGATTAAAATGTACCATATTGTCTGAGAAATGAAGGCAGTTGGTGTGCAATGTTTTATTTTATAATTTTAACAATGTTTAGCGTTTATGAATACTAGTGTTCAACTCCATAGCCTTGTAATTTTGAACCCAATCCAGAAGACAAGGGCTTCGTGGAGGACTTTTTGATGGAACTAACTCGTATTTGCGTTACATGGAGAGGAAAACCTCCCACGGTTAGCCTGACGGCAAGAGAATACCTCATGATCCATCAACCACTAAGGATATTTTAAGTCAGCACTGTGGTCGGTGTAAGTCGGATGCGAAATTCGTATCGCCCAGCCATCACTGGGATTCAAACCCAATTCACTTTATTGGAAGGCGAACAGTCTATCCGCAGACCCATCAAGGGTTTTGGTGTGCAATGTTGACTACATTGCAACAATCATGCTGCTGGTCATGAAATTTTGGAGCCCATGAAACCCCAGGTCACACAATATGCTGTTGCACTGGATTAATTCACAGAATTATAAAATTAACTTCTTTATAAAATGTAAATGAAATCTGCAAGGACAGAATCCGTACGATAGCAAAATATGTTTAAATCATTCTTTTATGAAATCAATATGACCATTTTATGAAACCATTAAACGAAAAAGAAAAAAAGGAAACTATCTGTAATAAAGTTTAAAACAATATCTGTTAAAACATATTAATTTTAGAATTAAGACAAAACTTGAAGCTAGGGTTTTGGCTTCTTGTTTTTATTTTCACGTATGTATTATACTCATGGTTTCTTCATAAGAAGTTGGAGAACACGAAAATTAATAATAAATGTAAAAACATTACTTTACTTAAAATATTGTTGAAAAGGGCTATGTTTTTTTACTTATTTAATTGTAATTGTGACTATCATTAAAATGTCACAAATCTTAGTTTAGATAAATGATTAGAATTTTACGTACTACAGTCAAAATAAAATTGGTTACAATTGCTTTACAAAAATAAAACATAAGTAAAATAATATATTGGAAATTCACTGGAACAAATAATTAAATTTTTCATAAACAATATAGTAAATCAAAAATAAAAAGTTGTTAGTTTTTTAAAAAAATGTTTAAAATTTGGTTAAATTTTTTGTTTTTGCCATCCCTTGCAAGTGTATATTTAATGTCTTTAAAAACGTTAACAGTTTTTTTAGTAGTTTTATTTTTAACCTTTTAATGTTTAGATTAATTTGTTATTTAATGTTATACCTGAATAATGCAAACTGTTATTCAGCTTATAACATGCATTAGGTTATAAAAACAATTAGTATAGTTATAATTTTTTTTTGATGTTTGCTGATACTTTGAAAAAAAAAACTTTGCAATCATGAGTAATTTACTTCTACTATAATACGGGTTTACCATAAATACTCAGAAAAGAAATTTCCTGACATAATGATTTTATTAAATTTTCTTGCTTTTTATAACTAGTGGCATTTATTTTATTGTTCGTTTTTCAATTACTCCTTATTCATAAAATATATCACACAACACTTATAAAAAAATTATTTGAGTAGAAAATAAACAATTTTTAAAAAAAGTTATGTTAGAAAAAAAACAGTCTTTTGGAAAAAAATATTGAACTTATAGATTCTCAAAGACTCTTTTAGGTTTTTCAATTAAATTCCCTGTTTTTTTTTTCTTTACAGATTGATAAATTTCCTTCACTTTTCCTTACTCTGTGCCACCCTGAAATATCAAAACATTTCATTTCAGTTCAACTCATCAAAGCTGGCATTAAACATTTTTTACAGTATTTCTAACTAATGTTATTATCCTGAGGAATTGGCAGTCACATGAAAATTACTTTTAATGGTTTTTAAATTCTATAAAATCCATATTATCGTACTGACTGTTAAAATTAGACAAAATGAGTACGTATTTAATAAGGTATATTAAAACGTCATATATTTTTATATTATTGTTAAATAAGTCACAAATTACAATTGCAATAAATTTTGGTAACCTGTTTATTTACTGTTAATATCGTTTATGAAAACTTTCGCAAAGGAAAATAAAAAAGCCACAGTTTAAGTGCCTTACACGCGAAGCAAAGCTATAGTTCTAAACTATATATGCCATTTTGCCGTGAAGAATTATCCAGGCTTTCAAATGTACAAATAACATAAAAGTTATTAAACTTTTTTAAAAATCACCAAATTGGCGACATTTTTTAAAAATTAATGCCTTATACTTATTTTTGCAGATTTTTGTTAGCCCAGATAATGCAGCATTGGAGTAGATTTTTAAATATTAAAAAAATAGACTACAAAGTTTTTTATTTTCACAAAACCGCACCTTTTCTCCATATTTATGTTTTGCGCTATTTTAAGAATAAGCAAAGAAAGTGCTAGCTAAAGCTTGCCTGAATTTTTTGAAAAACAGCCTTAAAAATCTCTCTCTATATATAAATCTTAGTTAGCTCCATAAAAGGACAGTTTTTGTTTTTAAAAAAATTATTGCTATGTGGCAGACAAACCTGTACAAAACTTAAAAGCTCTAGAGAACTGGGAAGTGGGTGCAGTGGGATATTTTATCTTTAACATACAAGAACTAAATGAAATTAAATAAATAGTAAAGTAGAAGCTGAATAAAACAAGAAAGTCAATAATTTATTTTTCACCAACACAACAATAACTTAAAACATTTGAGTGGCCAATACTTCATAATGAAATTTCATCTCTTTCTTTTTTTTCAGTAACCATCATTTGAAAAGTCTATTTTGGTGTAATCTGGATATTTTTCTTTCAAAAGTCTGCAAGTTATAAGGTGATCAGCTCTACCATATCCCTATCAGAGAAAAAACAAAATTAAAGAATGCTGTGAAACATGAACCTTATATTAAATTAGCATATATTCTTCAATATGAAAAGAAGAAAAAAAAGTAAGGAAATATTCATTTTAAAACTAAAATTTTAAAATTAGGAATTTATTTAAAAATTTTATGCATTATGACAATTTACTACCAAAACTATTAGGAATCAGAACTAACTATAGAGACCTTATAGAAAAGAAAAAATACTTACAACAATTTACTAGGATAAAGTATCACTATCCACACTTTTAGATTTTGATTTAGAAATAAGATGCTACACAAATTAATATAATTTAATCTTTGAAATCAAACATAATAACGTACAGATATGCATTTCTTTTTATTTCAGTAATCCTATAAAGGTTAAAAAGAAATCCATAAGTTATTTACATCAAACTAAGGTAAAATTAAGCAAATCTAAGTTTTATTTTGCACAAAATAAACAATTACAAAAGTGAACAAATTCTGCAAGGGAGGCATTTAAAAAAGAGAGTGAGAGAACATTTTGTGCAATAATTTAATTATTTTTTTTTTGTTTTTAAAGGTAAAGTATACAGAATTTTTTTTTTAATAACACTTTGCTAAAATTAAACAATTTCTCTCATCTTTTTGGAAATTTTTTTGACCTTTTCAGGAAAAAAAAAACAGAAATTTTCAAGACATTAATTTTGTTTTAATGCTAGAGAGCCAGGCACTAGCATACTTGAAATGATTTCTTTAGGGAGTAGCTTGTTTATATGGATGGTTGATCATGTTAGACTAAGCACAGATGGCAATAGGAGTTGAAATTTGTCATAAGACTTCCAGATTCCTACTTCCGATTGATTTTTAGACCTAAAAGCGCACCATTTAATATTGTTATATGTGTTATGTTTTCAATATTACACGCTCTTTCCATTTAACTTTCAGAAACAAATAACAAATGAATTCAGAAGACTTCACCTGCATTCATGTTATCCAAAAATAACAACAGGTTAGCCAATTTTTGAGTGTTATCCCTTATTAGGCTATATTTGTGTAAAATAGCAACATTTGTTATTTTTTTGTGTAGAATCGTAGCAAGTTTGCAGTCTTCTGAATTCATTTGTTGCTCGTTTTGTTCCAAGTTAGATTGAAAAATCAGTCGGAAGTAGTAACCCGGAAGTCTTACGATGAATTTTAACCTTTAGCGCCATGTGTGCTTAGTTTTAAACGGTCACCCATCCATAACAATATATTGCAACATAATAAATTGAATATAAAATACCAAGAAAAAAATATTAGAACACAAAACACATCACAAGCAGTAATGGCAGGCACAGCAATGAAAATTTAGAGAAAAACTGAGACAAGAAAGATATTAAATTTTGCAATTAAATTGGAAAAGTATTTATTTATCATGTTGCTTAAAATTATGTTACATATGATGATTTAAAAATGTTAATAACGCAACCATTAAGCTTTGTTTAATGAATCTTTTTTTAGAAACAGAACTATGAAAAATGTAAATCAGGGGGAGAATTCAAACATTTCAGTAATACGGAAAACAGCTAACATTTTTAAGCTTATACAGTGATTCTTAATTTCTTGTGTTTGTATTTTATGTCATATGTTTTAAATGCTTTGTAAGTCAATAATGACTGATGACATGACATATTAGACATTGCTAAGAATTGGAAAAGTTTTCATTATCAAATATTACCTGTGAATATCCATACACATGAATGGTTTTCTCTGAAGGGTTGTGTTTAATACGTCCTCCTCCAACACACTCACACTCTAAACCAAGTGCTTCAATGGCTGGAGTTGTAACTTCATAGATATCACCTAAAATTTAGTGAAATATTTATAAATAAAAAAATCAAATGGGTTATTTTATGAAATACGGTCAAAATAAAATGTATTGTACTTAAATATACATGAATCAGATAAAAATCTTCCAAAAAAGTTACTTGTCGTTAAAATCAATAAAATGTGAAAAAGAAACATTGATAGGCAGGCTTTGTTTTTAAATTTTTCGTGTGAATCCAAAAATGTCTCTTTCATTTCACACATAGTCAAGGGAATATATAATGAGATAAGTGGATGAAGATTCTAATAGATATGCTAGAGACTTTGAGTAAACAAGTTTTAAAACTTTGTTAACAGTAAGAAATAAAGATTATGCTTTGCTTTATTTCTTGTACACAGGAAAATTTCCATATTGGTGTCGAAACCAATTACAATGGCTTAATCGCCAAAAGGTTTCTCAACTTGCAAAAATTTAAAAAAAGATATATATTTATATAAGTAGAATAGAGTTTTGCTTGGGTGTTGACCACTAATTATACCATTTCAGTTTGATCTTTTCTGGGAAGTTTTTTTTTAGTTTCTGACACGTCATTGCCCGATTGTTGCCGCAATTTGTCAGTTTTTTTGGCGTAGGTATCAACATAAAAGTCTTTTCCTGGGTAGAAACAAATACAAATTCTTTGTAAGTTAAAAAAACACATTTACGCTTAAATTATGATAGGAATATGGAAACCATCAATATGGAAATATCCCCCTTATACAGAAGCTTATGATTGTCAAAATCACTATATCTGACTCACATTTAAACTATTCTTCAAAATAATCACAGTTTAGGTTTTATCATTTACTGAGGAGGTTTTCTAAGGTTGACTGCATGCTTACAAATGCACTTAAAACTTTCTGCTACATCAAAATCATTCAAAGATTGCCACTTAATACCTTCAACCACTAAAATATGCGAAATTTAATAACTCATCAAAATAAATGTAGGTTGAATAGTTAAATAAGACAAAAACAATATATTTCATTCGAAAAAACAATTTTTTTAAAAATATCTTTGAACTTTCTTTTCACCAAGTTATTTAATATTAATACTTTTATAAAATCCTTTTTCGTATATTTTGAGTAACTAGATAGATGTGGGTTTTTTTAAACATAGTTTCACGTGTTTTTTAAAATTTAATTTAATATTGCATGGTATACTAGTTAAAAATGTCACCCGTTGTACTTAAATGTTCTCCATTTTCATGATTAAAAATTGACATTTTGGTCGCTTTGATTTTCACATTCATTCAGGATTGGATTTTTGACATCAAATCCCATCGAAAAAATATCAAAAACTGTCAAAAACCTGTGACATGTTTCTTTTCTATCATTTGAGACACTTTATTAGAAGTCAAACTGCACAGCTACTTGAATCGTGCACAACACAATACTTGCATTGTAATAACATCTATAATTATTCATATTATGACTATTTATATATGATTCATATTATATATCATGTATGAAAAATATAGCAAAATTATTAAATACTTTTTCAAAACACATGACACTATTTATAATTTAAGATTATAATTTTTTTGATATATAGTAATATANAACTACTTTTTGACGTCAAAAACTCAACCCTGTATATCATGTATGAAAAATATAGCAAAATTATTAAATACTTTTTCAAAACACATGACACTATTTATAATTTAAGATTATAATTTTTTTGATATATTGTAATATAACCATTCAGATTATATTACAGATAATAACTATAAGCTATTAATTGTAATCTATTTATTATTAAATACTGATTTTAATTCTTTAAAACACTATAGCTAATTTTCTAGTTTGTATAGTTAGTTTCTTTAGAAAAAGTAAAGTGGTTTTCAACAATTGTCTGAGCTCAACTTTGGAAATTCTTTTCTTAATATTTGTAGTCAATGCATATACGTAAATGTTTTATTAATTTATTTTTGTAACCAATATTTTGCAAAGTTATGAGATCAAATTTTGCAATACATAATATATGGTATGTTTTAATAGTTTTACTGTGTCCACATAATAATAGTATATGCATAGCAGCATCAATCAAAAGAATATTTTAGAATTTCGGTGTTATTCATTCAAAACTGAAAAATAAACTCGGATTACAGAGTGCATTCAAAATTTAGAACAATTAGTTTCTTATGCAAAATTTTGTGTTTTTTGACAATTATTAAAAATTATGTCAAAAATGGTTTTTTGAGGACATGACTGGTACAACTTCCACTTTTTGAAAATTTTCTAATACTGCCCTCATTACTTATGAATGCTATATAACTATGCAATAATTTATGTAAATAATTGACATTAAATAACTTTGCACTTTTAAATGAGTCAAGATATAGCGTACGTTAATAGATACCACTTACATAAACTTTTAGATTAGGCAAATAGATCAAAAATTCAATTAATTTTAATATTTTATTTTATTCATTACCATGAAATTCAGCATCACCGGATCCACGAACAATATATTTCATTGTCCCATCCTCATCATCAGGATCGTAAACTTTGACTAAAATGTATTTAAATGTTCCATCATCGATTCGTACACTTTCAACTGCATCTAATTTGTCTTTCATCGACATTTTAGAGCTCAGGTATAATTTAAATTTTAATTAATATATAAGGCTCAAATCCAAAACAAACTACGTAAATATAAATATTTTTGAAAGCAGACGCCGGAGATTTTTATTTGTTGCCATTTAAAATAAAAGAGATTTTGATATATTAAAATGACATTTCCCGCTGAACAGACGCATATGCATGAGAAGCAGCTTGCCTAAGATTAAGAGACCGTTCTCACTATATATAGTTTATGCACTTTAGTTCGTATCGCGATTGCAATGATATTTGGTCAATTTAGGAATTGGTAACTGGGCGGAGTGAGCTTAACTCTAGCTTTTATCCATCAATCTTCTTATAACCCTATATTGATTGTATAATCTGTACTATGCCAAACTTTTTCGCCAAAACTATTGGCGTTGTTTAAACAAAAGCTATTGTTAGAGGAAGCCATTTTCTGTATTTGGCTGTGCGGGATTTCATATTTTATCATCATGAATGTTTTAATTACAGGTAATTCTTATTAATTAAAGATTTATAATATTAGTGTATGTTTCATAGCAGTATATAAAAAAATTTCATGAAATTTAAAAAAGATTAATGAATTTTATTAAATATCTGTGAATACCACGCGTTAGATTTTNTCCCAAATTCTTGCAACCATGAGTGATACTCAACAGCCAATCACAGTGCGAAAAGCCCATTGATCTGACGTTATCATCTCCTTGTTGCCATTCTGTAGTAGAAACTATGGTTTAAAATTAGTTACCAATTCCTTAAAAGATAGAGACCCGATTGCAATGCTTCAACACGCCATCTGGGGAGAAGACCGGTTCCATGGTGTTAACCCTTCCCTCTCCTCTCAGTTGTTAAGAATGTACTACGATATTTTCCCCTTTCATAATATTTCTCGTATTTAATTGTCAAAATTAATTTTTTAAATTTCTACAACGCCTTCTTTTAGAGCTACGCTCTATGTAGTTTTCAGTTCCACATAGTTTTCTAACTTAAAAGTTTTAATCAATTTGAAAATCAAGACAAAAACTAACAACGGTCTTTCTCCTATGACTCTCCACACGCTACTGGTGAGAGCATGCGAAGCGTTTCCATAGGCAGAGAGTTCGGGTATACGCCACTTGTAGCCAATTTTAATCACCAATCGGTTTGTTCCACGATATGAATTAACTACGATTTTGAATTAAAAACATGGACACGTTACAGATAGATCAAGAAGAACGCCAACAGAAAATGAAGTTAGAAGATTCACTATTGGCAATCAAAATGGACTGCAGGTGACGTAGAGCAGAACTCTATACCTATGGCAAAATCTTCGCATGCTTCCACTATTAGTGTGTGGAGAGTATATGAAAAGAAAGTACGTTAGTTTCCTCTATAATGCATCATAAACTGAAATGCATTATCACCTTCTTTCTGCTACATCCTACGTAGCAGAGAAGAGAGGATACTTAGTATTAACTAGAATTAATTTAAAAAAGTCCTGGTGATAAATATATTATTAAATTCCATAAAAACTGTAGCTTGCAGAGAGAAACTGATTACAGATTTGAAATAAACGACGTGAAAATATCAAAAATCTGTTAAGAAAATCTCATGCAACAGAGAAAAAAATGTTTCTCGGTGTTATAATTTTTGATTTTTCTTAATACAAACGATGAATTCTGACTCATATTTGTCCCGATTGGATGTATGAACGTAAACTGGAGATCGGATGCCCTAATTTACATTGTGTTTTTTCTCGGCAATTTGAAAATACTCATGACGAAGATCATGAACGATCGCCATCGCCACTTTCCCTCAGGGACTTGTTTCAACGAGATACCGAAATAAACAAGCATTTATTTTTTTAAAATTCAATCTTTATTAACACAAAACTACCATCCGAAGAGCTAAAAACATTCCACGTGACTCTAAAAACATTTTGAACAGTAATTATGCAGCTCAAGATATTAATGAACCAAATTTATATCAACAAGATGCTTTTATCATACATTTTATTAAAATATTATGGTCTTATGCTTTTTATTGGATCCCAGAGTAATAAAAAAGGGAAATAAAAACAACAAGTTATGGTGGAAAAAAGATAAGAGTAGAAAAATTAGAATGTATTAAATCAAAAAATGTAAATTGCACATAAAGGCAATTTTTTCGTTCTATTACGTATTAGCTCTATTTTGAGAACAATTAATAATATACTAAAATGATTGTTTTACGCTTCATTTTCCCGACACCGTTAAGGGATAAAAAAAGATAGAATACAATAATAAATTATTCTATGTTAGCAAATAATATGACAAAATAATAGAAAATTAATCTTTTATGTCTTAATTAATAGAAAACTAATCTAATAGAAAATTAATTAAATAGGCTAACTGCTGTCAGTTTTATCTATATTATCTAATAGATGAACCTATCAGCCTAACTAAATAGATTTAAAATTTTGTTGCAATATGAGGTTTCTTACCTAAGTTGTAGGGAAAATTGCCTTACAATAATAACTAAAACGCGCATAATGTAAAACAAAGCAAGTTTCAGAAACTACAACAGAAAATAGTTCATAATCACTGTAATTGTGTTACTACTATACTGTTAAATGTAGATTTATAATTTTGATATTTGTAAAAGCATTTTTTTTATAACCGTCATTAAACAGCTGACCCAATTTTTGGGTTCACGACTGCCAATGTTCAACTCCGTAGCTTTGAATTTTTAACACAATCCATAAGATAAGCTAACTTTTAGTTCAAGTAATGGGAGAAAATTGCCTACGTGGAGGACTTTTTCTTATGGAACTAATCCTCAATTGCGTTATATGGCAATTAAAACCATACAGACCTCCCACGGTTAGCCAAAGGGGACTCTAAAACATGATCCGTCTACCACTGAGAATATTTTAACACGTTCACGCCTGGAAAAGTGAAAATACTGGTTCGGGAAAAGAGAAAATACTGGTAGAAGAACTATTTCAATATTAGATAATATTCGGGAGGAGTTAATCTATTCTCAACAATTCACTGTAAGGAAATTTATCACGCCGAAGAAGCAATTCATTATAAAAATTGCATCTGTTAAAAACAATTGGTAGTTACGGATTTTTATTATTCCCGGAAAAAAACTAAAAAATGAAATTTATTGTTACCAGTTTTTACTCCGGTGCGCTGCCAAGATGAGACAATCTAGCGCGACCACCGGTGGGTCAACCCCGCGTGAACGTGTTAAGCAAGTACTTTCGTCCGTGTGAGTCAGGTCCGTCATTGAGCAGCCGACCCATTTTTTTTTTGGCTTACAACAGCTAACGTTCAACTCCGTAGACTTGTGATTTTGAACCCAATCCAGAAGACAAGAGAGCTCCTGGATGAAGTATTGGGTCTTCGAGGAGGACTTCTTGATGGAACAACTAACCCGCAATTGCGTTATATGGTGAGGAAAATCACGAAAATCTCGCATGGTTAGCCTAAAGGGAAGGGTACTTTAACCTATGATCCGTCTACCACTGAGGATATTTTACGCAAACACTGCTGCTGGTCCTAGTCGGGTGCGGAATTCGGGGGCTCGAACCAGTTGGAAGGCGAAAGCTCTATCCTCTGAACCACCACAGCTCATGTAAAAGTATTTTTATTTTTATTTTATAACCGTCGTTGAACAGCCGAAAGCAAATCTGGGTATACGACTACCAATGTTCAACTCCGTATCCTTGCAATTTTGATCCCAATCCAAAAGACAAAGCAGCTCCTGGATCAGTACCCCCAGAGGTATTGATTTGTTATGGGAACATGGAGGACTATTTATGATTTTTCTAAGACACTNCCAAGATGAGACAATCTAGCATGACCCACCGGTGGGTCAACCCCGCGTGAACGTGTTAAGCAAGTACTTTCGTCCGTGAGTCACGTCCGTCATTGAGCAGTCGACCCATTTTTTTTTGGCTTACAACAGCTAACGTTCAACTCCGTAGACTTGTGATTTTGAACCCAATCCAGAAGACAAGAGAGCTCCTGGATGAAGTATTGGGTCTTCGAGGAGGACTTCTTGATGGAACAACTAACCCGCAATTGCGTTATATGGTGAGGAAAATCACGAAAATCTCGCATGGTTAGCCTAAAGGGAAGGGTACTTTAACCTATGATCCGTCTACCACTGAGGATATTTTACGCAAACACTGCTGCTGGTCCAAGTCGGGTGCGGAATTCGTATTGACCTGTCATCGCTGGGACTCGAACCAGTTGGAAGGCGAAAGCTCTATCCTCTGAACCACCACAGCTCATGTAAAAGTATTTTTATTTTATAACCGTCGTTGAACAGCCGAAAGTAAATCTGGGTATACGACTACCAATGTTCAACTCCGTATCCTTGCAATTTTGATCCCAATCCAAAAGACAAGGCAGCTCCTGGATCAGTACCCCCAGAGGTTTTGATTTGTTATGGGAACATGGAGGACTTTGAGACTTGACAGATTTAACGTGCATGAGTCACCATTTAATGCGCCGGGAGTCTTCGTTCGGCCTGGGATCGAACCCACGAACTCTTGGACATGGCTCCAGTGCCCTACCAACCAGGATATCCCGGCCTTCATGTAAAAGTATTTTATTTTATTTTATTTCCGTCGTTGAACAGCCGACCCAATTTTGAGTTTACGAGTACCAATGTTCAACTCCATAGCCGTGTAATTTTGAGCCAATCTAGAAGACAAGGAAACTCCTGGATCAGTACCCCCAGAGGTATTGATTTATTATAAGGAGGGCTTTGCGACTCGACAGATTTAATGTGCATCAGTCACCATTTACAACACTCTTGGACATGAGTCCAGTGCCCTACCATATGTAAAAGTATAGTAAAAATTCAAGAACTCTTAATTAAGACATTATGCCCACACTTCCCCTATTTGAAAAATAAAGAAGAGAACAGAACGCATTTCAGCATTTTATTAAAAGTTATTCTTATTGGAATTTAAAACGCTGAATTACATTGAATTATATGAAGTATGCAATCAGTTAACAGTTTTTCTTTACAATATTGAGCAGAAAGACCATTAATCTTATTTAAAAAAAACATGATTCTCATTCGTTCTTTTAATTCCACAGTATTCTCATCAGCAGTTGGCATCCGTTTGCTTCAAAGTATGGTACTTCTGGTCGGTGAGAATGACGGGATCTGCACAACTCTTAAATCTGAAAAATAATTTCAACTTTTCAAACAATTTGTATACGCTCATATTTTGAGTCATCATTTAAATTACTCTGAGCAACTTTGTTTTGTTTTTGGTTTCTAACGCTGTTCTGATTTCAGGTTGAGATTGATTTAAATCGCACCGGCGCAAATAACCTAGTTAATTTTCGCCCAATTTGCTCCTCTCAAATTTAACTGCCAGAAAAGTAATAATGTATGTTACAGAAAAAAAAAAACGAATCAGCTTGAATAACTTTTGATCTAATAATCAGATTTTCACGTAATAAGATTCAATCTTAATGACTCGAAGGGGTGACCTCAAGATATCAGGCACAGAAACGTACTTTCTCTGAATAAACACACCTTTTTTTCGACGGTCTCGAATTTCTGATCTCCACACTATAGCGGGTAGCCGTAGTTTGAGAAATATGGTCCCAATAGTTTGGTCAGAATACAGAAAGAAGAAAAAAAAGAAAAAAACTTCAGCTCAGCGAATTATCTTTAGTGTAGCAGTAGCCTTTTAAAAAATTTGTGATCTCAGTAAAACTTTTAATTAATACTTTGAAAAAGAAATTTTAAGTCAAAAGAAGTAACAGAAATTATTATATTCCAGTAAATTTGATTAACTTTTTTTTAATTGCATTATTCTATGTTATTAGAGTATTGAAATCAAGCACATTTAGTTCTTCATCACAGAAACAGGAATTAAATTTTATAAATGAATATCAAAAATATTTTTCGCCATAGCAAAATTCTTATTTACTCAAAGAATAAAAATGTTTAGAAAAGAAATTAACACAAATGTCTATTTAATTATTCAATAAATAATTAAAAATGGGAATTGCAAATTCTTTTAATTTTATAATGTTTTTTTTTTTTAAATTTTTAGCTTTAGTGAAACAAAAACGTCTAGCTTAAGGATATTTGCTGAAATTATGCGGTTGAATTAAATTACATGAAGAGAATAAGCGGTGATGATGGACCGATATATTTCAATAGATTAGATTCTTGAAAGTGTTGATTCGCTTTCGGTGAAGCTGAATTTTCTTAACTTGATATTTTTTTTCCTATTATTTTGTTTAGATTTTTTCATTAAAATTACATAGTGCATTAATTTTACCATTTCAGAATTCTTCTTTGCAAACACTAACAAATAGTCTCTGGAGATAAATTAACAACAACCATACTTTGTATATATGTTACCGGCAAATTATGAAATCCGGCATTGTATAGAATGACTAGGCATTGTATAGAATGACTAGGCATTGTATAGAATGCCTAAAATTAGCCGGCAAAGTATGAAATGATTTATATTTTACACATTTCCTAGGCATTCTATAGATTGCCAAATGAAAAACGGCAAAGTATAAAATACATCTCCGATTCGTTTCAAATATCAATTGGTAAGGCTCGTGACTTTTAACGCGTGGCTCGTGACTTTTGACTAATAGCAAAAATTATTTTCTTACTGTGCTATATGGAAATGGCGGAACTTAATGAAATTTACATGGAAAAATTTAATGAAATGTAATTCAAAATGTCATTCAAGCCTGCCATGCTGTAACAAGTAGGTTAATTTCATATTTTTTATATGAAAATTTTGTTTCCCTTAATAAGAAAGGCTTAAATTTTGTTTTGCATAACTTTTTAATTTTCTTTCCACATTTTGAGTAAATGTTTTTCAATGGCACAGTATTCTCAGTCTTTTTTAGAACTAGTGGGCTGCGCCCCCTTCTCGCTAACGCTCGCCAACCCCCGAAAATTGCAACTCAATCTTATATGGTTTGCTTCGCAAACTAAGCTCGCTTCGCTCGCTACTAACTTAGGTACATTACAAATGTACAAAATTCTGAGAATTCAGAACAATTATTCAAATCCATATAACAACTTTTAAAAAAAAAAAAAAAATTACATCTTTTTAGTAAATACTAAGTCATTAAAATAAATTTGAATTCAAATAAATGACATGTAATTCGTTAAACCTATTAGAAATGTGCTATAGTATAAAATCTTAAGATAAAATTTCTAAAACTGATATCTCTTTAAAAAGGTTAAAATTTTGGCTATAATTAAGTCTATTAAAAATTGAAATAAGTGAATTGCAATGGAAAAACCTGCATAAACAAATAAATTCTAGTAAAACAAATAAATTCGTGATATAAATCAAAAATCGTCAAATAAATTCGTAATATATAAATTCGTGAAAAAAAGCGCTTTCGACAAAATACTAAAATAGAGATCTATCGACAAAGACTACTCACTTCTGCCTAGCTTAATAGTATGAGATTGCCGCAGCTGATGCTCTCTGGTTATTTCAGTTTCCGTTTTTAAAAGCGCTATATGTTGAGCCACCTCAGCTAGATTTGGCATGTGACATTTTTAGCGGTAATCATTGGTCTATTTTCTAGTGTTGCCATTCAGGGAGTTGTAATGAGGCCTTTTTTTATCGCCGTGTAAGAGAAATATATATATATAGATAATATTTTTATTTTTGCGAAATGCATGTTACTGTGAATGAACGAAATCGGTAGTTTCACATTTATTCGATATTTTAATACTAACTGACGATAGATTAGAAGAAACATCAATGTAGGGTATACCGAGCAGTGGCACTTGACCTTCAAAAAGCATCAGTGTAGGGTATACCGGGCAAATGTATACCGGGCAGTGGCACTTGACCTTGCAAAAACATCAGTGTAAGGTATACCGGGCAATGTCACTTAACTAGGACTAGTAAGACGGGACCTTTGGTAAATGTCCGAAATATATACTAGGTCTAGTATGTACGGTATACATTTGACCGGTATACCTTACACTGATGTTTTTTTTGAGGTCAAGTGCCATTGCCCGGTATACCTTACACTGATGTTTTTTTTAGATCAAGTGCCATTGCCCTGTACACATTTGCCCGATACTCCAAACACTGATATTTCTTCTAATCTATCGTCAGTAAGTATTAAAATATCGAATAAATGCAATTATATCCTATAATAAATTAAATATCAAATCGGATGTAATAAATATTTCGGACATTCACCAAAGCGACTATGTGATTGTCAGCATTCACCGGTGAAAGTCAACAACCACCGATTTCGCTTATTCACAGTAGCATGCACATCATTTACATAATAACCTCATCAGGACGTTTATTTCATACTTTGCATAAATAGCATCCGGCATTGTATAGAATGCCTAGGCATTCTATACAATGCCTTGGCAAAGTATGTAATACTTCTCACATTTCATACTTTGCCTAAAAACGTCAGGCGTTCCATACAATGCCTAATCATTCTATACAATGCCGGCGCTCCATACTTTGCCGGTAACATATACAATATTTCAGAAAGAGGAGTTCAAATTTATGAATTTATAAGTAAAAATAATTTAAATTATAGCGATATTCCTATTTACTCAAAGAATAATATTGAGAATAGGTATGAGAATTTATGTGTGTTTAAATGCTTAATACATTGTAAAAAAAAAAGAAGAAGAAGAAACTGCTTTAGTAAATAATTTAACTAAAAATAAAATTTCTTAGCTCTAGAAAAAAAAAACTACCTAAATTTTTGAACATTAGCACATAAAGATCGTATAGATGATGGATAAATATTTTTCAATGGACTAGGTTCATGAAAACACTGATTTGTTTTAATGCAATTCCGAATAATGAAATCATTCACTCTATATCTAAATGTATACTACCCAATCTGATGACTGATTTTAAATAAGTAATTAGGCTGTAATTAAGCATTATTTTAACTTTATAAGAGGAATAAAATAATCTTTTCTGTGATCTACACCACTCATCTGAGCCAAAAAGAAATGTTGATTCACTGTGAAGAACTCCATAAGCATATCTTCAACGATTTTTGAGGTAAATAAACAGTTAGAAGTAATAAAAATCTTTCTTCTATTTTGCACGCTCTCAAAACTGTAAATTTAATTCGCAAAATTTTTTAACTAATAATGTACAGAGAACGATATAAGTGATATCAAAACTAAAAGAGCATTGAAATAGCCTTGATGGTAAGAAGCGATACGTTTTCATTCAGCACATGTGACGTTATAACCAATCGGGGACCGTCTTTAATTGCATCACTGAATGAACCATTTTGGGCAATTTATATGTTAAATAATTTAACAAATAAACATTTGAAAAAAGAACAATATGGTTTTCGGATTCAGGAGAGAATTTTCATCAAGTCAGGACTGAAAATAAAATTTTTTTAGAGATGCAGTATTTGTCCATTCAGTAGCTCAGAGGTATTCTATATTATTTCACAACCATCGTTGAACTGCCGCCCCAATTTTTGAGCTTACGGCTACCAATGTTCAACTCCGTGGCCTTGTGATTTTGAACTCAATCCAGAAGATCAGGAAACTTTGCATTTAATATGGGAGAAATTTGCCTTCGTGGAGGACTTTTTAATGGAATTAACCAGCATTTGCGTTACATGGAGAGAAAAAGCACTAAAACCTTCCACAGTTAGCCTGACGACAAGGGGAATCTAACCCATGATCCATGGATATTTTACGTCATCACCGTTGTTGGTGCGAGCCGGGTGAACAAATCGTATCGACTAGTCATTGCTGGGATTCGACTACCACATTCGACTACCGTCTACCACTGAGGATATTTTACGTCAGCACAGTGGTCGAAGCAAGTCGGAATTCGTATCGACCAGCCATTGTTGGTATTCGAACCCGGTTCACCTCACTGGAAGACGAACGCTTGATTCCCTGTGCCAACACGGCTCACCCCAGAAGTATTGCTTTGTTATGGGAAATTAGAGGACTTTGTGACCACAACAAAATTAACGTGAACCACTCACCATCCAATACACGGGGTTTCTTCGGTTGGGGAGATTTGAAATCCCGTTCTCACGAACACGAGTCCAACGTCCTACCATCCAGGCTATCCCGGCTTACTTTAAATTTGAAATTAGTTAAGTAGGTGAAAGAGAATTTGCGATGAAAAGTCTTTCCTGTGGGAGAGCGACTTCTTAAGGGGTCGAAAATTTCGACCACTCATCTGAACAAAGAATTGAGACCTTATGTTCTAGATTGGTGCAACCCCTCATATTTTGAAGGTCAAGAATCCGAAACGAAAGGTATGTTTATTCTGAGAAAGCAAGTTTTTTGCATCTGTTTTCCTATCCTAAATTGCTGTCTGCACTAATTAGCATACGAGGTGAGGCTCTCAAACCATTAATAGTGTATCCTAGAGTGGGAAAATCCGATCTTTAGATCAAACGTTATTCCAGGTGTTCTGTTTTGTTGGTTTGCGCACTGTGCATGTAAACAAAATAATCAATTCAATTTGCAAACATATGGTCAAGTAAAATAATAAAAAGAAATTATTTATTTTTCGTATTTTACTTATATATAATTTAAGGGCCGGGATAGCCTGGTCGGTAGGGCGCTGGGCCCATATCCAAGAGATCGTGGGGAGCAGAAATAAGAATAAATAGCTTTAGTGTAAAGGTTGCTGGTCGAATCCTTTTACCCTGGACTTTATTCCAAATANCCTCTGGGGGTACTGATCCAGGAGTTTCCTTGTCTTCTGGATTGGTTCAAAATTGCAAGGCTACGGAGTTGAACGTAAGTAGTCGTAAACCCATGAAATTGGGTCGGCTGTTCAACGACGGTTATAAAATAAAATAATATAAAATATATAATTTAGATTTCTATACACAGATTTGATATTATCATTAAAAATTTGGATCTTGTGATATAAAAAACACCCTTTAATTTGCTTTTTATAAATTTTTAATCTTTTAAAATCCCCGTTTCATTTTTTTATATTTTGAAATTTTAAAACAAATTAATGAATTGTAAAATATTTGTAGTGGAAATATATACTTTTACTAAACTTTTATGTAAATTTTTACTAAAAGTTTTTTTGTTGTTGTTACATTTTGTTTGAGACTAATAAATTTAAATTTCTTAATTTTAATTCATGGGATATCCATTTAAAATACTTGTCTTTTTCACTAACATGATATAGTTGTATAGGCCTGCTAATTTTATACGCTTTTTGGAAAAATATCAAATTTGATTTAAAGTTATTTTTCACACGACTACTTGTAAATGATTCAAAACTTATATAAAAAGTTACTTTTGTTTTCTAATAAGCGTAGTAGTTGTTTGTCCATGGCTGAAAGCGAGACGGAAAAGAGGAAAAGCTGGTAGTAAACCCATTTCAGTTTTAGCATATTTTCGGGAGGAGTTAAACTATTATCTTTTTTAATTATTCAGCTATATCTACTTTTCTATAACGAAAGAAGCTGTTTTATAGATACGCTAAAATTGTAAAAAAATTACAGTAGTTACAGAAATTTAATGTTTCTTGAAAAAAATGTTAGAATGAAATGCCTTTCGTACCAGTTTTTGATCTTTTCCGTCTTGTTATATATAGGCTTTCAGCCCTGTGTTTGACAGAGTCGTATAGCAAGAGGTAGAGGTAATCCCCATACATTTTCTCGACCAAGTACGTCACTGGGGGTTGTGTTGTACTCTTAGATATTTCGCTTGGATGGCGATGTCGTAGTTTTACATAAAAACTCATACTTCATGGTTGTGCGAAAATTAATTTAAAAAAATATTTTTCACTCAAAAATCTAACTTTACCATTTCACTTTCGTCAACCATTTCAACGAAGTTAACTTTAAAAAATATTTCTTATATTCTTAGATATCGCAATGATTTTTTTAAACATAAGAAATTTTTCGAAAATTTTTCCGTGCAATTTTCTCGTGTAATTTTTGGAAATAAAAGGTTAAGATAGTCAGCTATAAACTGTTACTAACTTAACTACAAATTTCATATTTGACGATCATATAAAAGAGCCGATTGAAACAATTCCATAGTCTTAAAATTTCTAAAAGAGTATGAAATTGAAGTGACTCACATATATTTGCCATCCGAATCCTGTATGGTGACAGAGGCTATTCCAAAGGTTTCCTTTCCTTTCGTAAAGAAGCCATTGTATCTCAGGTACAGAACCTGAACTGAATCCAACTGACTTACAATATCAGATATGGGCATTGCTTGAAATTTTCCACCGCCAGGGGAAAGCTTCTCATCTTTCCTATAAGGTAACAGAATTTACAAAAAAAAAAGAAGAAAAAAAAGATTATTATTTAATACTTTCGCGGCGACTGTAACCTATCCGTGACAGCATATAAGTCAATCAGAGTGAAAAAATAATACTGCCAGTCAAAACATTTCTTTAGCAGTTTATCTGTGAATATGGTAATAATAGTTTGATTTATTTAATTCACCACTACTTAGTTCAAAATTAAAACTTAATAGTTACACTTTGAACTAACATTCGTTTAACATACCTGCCAACTCTTACGCATTTGGCGTAAAATTTTATTTCTATATTTAAAGTGGTAGTAAAATGTATGCTTTCTATACATTACTTGCATTTATAAACTTAATTTAAAATATTTTTGATGCACCAGTATCTTTAAAAAAAATTAAGCATATATATAAATATGTAATACTGCTGTAGAAAACTGCACAATCGGTAACAGCAAACTCACCTGGACCGACCGCATAAAAAATGTAATAGACAAAGCCAATACAGCAATAAATGCAATTCAACCTCTCATCTACAACCGGAATGTTTCACTTAAAAACAAAAAACTGCTATACACTTCCATGATTCGACCCTTTCTAACATATGCTTCGCCTGCTTGGGCCACAATTCCAGATCATCTAATGAAGAAACTGAACCAGTGCCAAAACAAAATACTCCGTAAAATCACCTGTCCCAGATGGTTCATTAGAAACTCAAACATCCACAAAGATCTCAAAATACCGACTCTCTCTCAGCAAAGCTATCAACTGCAATACAGGTAACTTCAATGAAATATTTAAATTTGAAAACTTTAAAAAAGACAAAAACCTTAGACCAATAGCTGCACACTTCACCTCTGACTCCTCATACCGAAACTATCAACATAAGTAAAGATCTCCAATTCTAACATTAATAGCTCATAGCAATAGTTCAAAACATCAACAGATTACAATCTCAACTGCTTCAACTACAATACCAGACTTGAAATCTGAACCAAGTACCTAATGTTGACAATAGATTCACAGCCATCTTTTCTATAGCCTTGAAATTCAAACCTGCTACCTCATGTGGACAATAAATACACAGCCATCTTTACTATAGCAAGTTGCTTAGAATTATTTTCACTTTCTTTTCAGTTAAACAAGCAAGATGTTTGTTTTACAATATCAGTCACCCCAGAGACTCTGTATACAAACTGCTTATATTTTCTAATTTTACTGTAATTTCACGATGAATGGGATATGGGTCTTCTGCGCGGCCCAGGTGCCCAGCTTTTGTTAAATAAAGTAAGTAAGTAAGAAAACTGCACTATCTTGTTCGAAATACAGCTTATTTTTCTGCCTATAATTGCAATTTATGTAACATTTGACTACCACTGGCGAAAATCATCCTTGAAAGGATTAAAAGTTGGCAGGTATGGTAAAATACACAGTTAGAATAACGTTAAATAAAGTGATAGCAAATTAACCGTGTGCCCACATTTTTTGCCCCATTCTAAGTCAGTATGAATGCTTCTTCGACTAGTCCGTCCTGAAAAAGTTAAAGAATGGTTGCACCATACATAGCCTGCAGAACATAGTGGCAGTGGATTTGACGGTCAGCAAACTTACCTGCTATAGACCGAACACCAACAGATTTTTTAATAGATCAATTAAGCATGATTAGTTATGACGTTCGGCCAAATGGTGCCTATGTATGAATTCTTTTCTTTCAATTTGCTCTCACGGTAATTAAATTGAGTATGACATTACCAGACTGCCCCAGATTGGACAAAATATGTTAAGAAACGGTAGAGAACATAAACTAAAATTTGCAGATTTTCCGTTTATTTTGCCAACATTTTAAAAGGCTTAACACAACATAACTGTAACTAAATGGCGTATCACAAAAGTCTTTGAATTATTTAGAACTAGTGATGAGTAAAAACCCTGTAAAACGAGTTTACTAAGCCAAGAATCATACATCAAAACACTACCACTGGAAAATATTTATCCGCAGCAAGTTCGCATTAATTGATTAATTACTGCCAACTTTCTTTGCTTTATGGGAAAATTTCTTCTAGCAGCAGCTAAGTTTATGTTTTAATGTATTATTCTTTGTTTTGTAAATTTGTTTTAAAGTTATTTGCCACATAAAGTTATTTGTCAAAAGTTTAATGAAACGCTTTAAACCAGATCTCTTGTGGTAAAACTCGCAAAATTTCGGGTAAATTGTCCGAACAGTTTGAAAGCTGTAGTTTTTAATTACCTACTATTGAATAAAATATTTTGTAAACTGTGTAGTAGTTCGCTGCTCTGTTCTTTTCTTAAATATTCTCCTTTCACTGCCACTAAGGAAAATAATTTTCATGTCAGGTTTACATACCCTCCAACTGCTACGGAATTTCCGTAGTTTCAGAAATCTTCTTTTCAGACGGTAGCAAAATTAATGTCTTAATATTTAAAAAATAATAATTTTAGCGTGACTTGTCCACTATTACTTATAAAAGTGCAGGCCATATGGCTAGATTCTTAAGTTCTGATAAAAGTTTTATGAGAGATCCAATTGCTTTAAAAATTTCTACTTTGGTTCGCTACCACTAGAAAGAATTATTTTCAAAATCTTCATAAGTTGGAGGGTATGGGTTTAGAACCTTTGTTTATTAATTTTATTTTAAAAAAAAAGTGAAAGCTTACAATATAACAAAGAAATATCAGGGTTGCTAGCTTTTTGCGATTTTTCGGAAAATTTCTTAAATAGGAGTATGCTTAATTGTTTTATGGTTGCACATGAGACTAAAAATGCTGATTATTAATTCATTTAAAATTAGCAGCCTTATTTTTAGCATATTTTTTTCAATTTGCTATTGATAATCTAAGCAAAATCTTTTCTTTCTTTATTTATAAAAAATTGGGCACCTGGGCAAATCTAAGCAAAGATAGTTTTAGATTTAGATTTAAATAATTTAAAGTGTAAGTCATAGCGGTAGTTACAATTGAATGATTAAAGAAATAACAAATTAATTAAAGTGAATTGAGTTTCAAGCACTTTTTATATTTTTAGTTGCCTGTGGCATCCCTGTTGCATGATTCATTGTTTTGTAAATTTGATTTAAAATTATAATTCACATCACCATTAAATTTAAATTAACTAAAAGTTCGTTGGAAAAGCCATTTAGAGAGGCTTTTATTTTATTTCTAATGGCAAGGCAAAAGGTACAAATAGAAAGATGAAATAAATAACAAATTCAAATGTACGTAGGATAACAAAGAAAGAAGACCGAAGTCATTGCCTTAAAAGTTCTCTTGCTTCCCAATATCTTGAGGACTCAGTGTGTCCATGAAGGGCCTCACATAGAAGCAGGTGGTCCCTGCCCAATTTCTCTCCAGATTTACAAAGCGGACAAAAAGGCGTGGTGGAAAGGCCTATGCGGTATAAGTGAGCAGAAAGACAATCGTGGCCTGTATATAAGCGGAAGGCCGCAACTGCATCACGTCTTGGTTTGTCAGGAATTAAAGAAGGGCTTACATTTCTCCAACTTTTCAAAGCTGTGCGAGTCTGAAGGTCTTGCAATGAGTTGGTTTTACAAGGAACAGTTTGATTTTCCAAAAGGAAGTTGCCGTATTTGGTTGTTGTAGCAAATTGGCACCTTTCTTGGCAAGTAAATCTGCCTGCTCATTGCCCCAAACACCACAATGGGCCGGCACCCACTGGAGGACTATTCGTTAGCATACATGGCAGTACTTTTACTTTCGTTACTTGTACCGCCGGTACAAGTAAAAAGTACGTACTTTTACTTGTACTTCGTTACTTTTTTAATTTAGTACTNACGTTGCCATATATGTTCGTTAGAGAGGCTTTTATAATCTAAGCAAAATTACCGAAAATTCTGAAAGCTGTAGTTTGTAATTTTCTTCCACTCAATAAAATTTGCAAATAGCTTAGTAGTTGGCAGTCCTGAATATCAATTTTGCTAAAATTCAAATATCTTACCATCACTTATCCCATCTCTACACAAAAAGGTAATTCTACACTCCTTAGGCAAAGAAATGAGTTTAAGATGTTTATTTTGATAATAATAATAACTATTTGCAGATGTCTCATTGTATCTAAGCTGTTAGGAAGTTCAAATTATATCAATCACGAAAGTAATTATGTCTAACTCTATATGATATGATATTATGTAATTTTATATTCGACAGAAACGTTCGTTTCATAAACGACTTTTAAAGTCCTCTAATTGAATGCTCGTTAGTTCTGACGTCGGGGTTTTCTTTAGGACTTCCGCAATCCTTTATTAAACCTAGTTTTTTTGAGCCACGTTTTCAGTTGCGGCGATGAATCCTTCACAAGATTCTCCAAGCAAAGTTTTTGCACTTTTTTCTCTTAAAAACAAGAAAAAGTTTGCGACAGGAACAAGATTTAAGGATGTCAAAGTTATTAACAAAACCCCAACGTCAACGCCTCCTATAACTGAAAGCCTCCACACGGTTTTTTATAGGTCAAACCACTATGAAGGATATCCACTTTCCGAATGAGTCATTTAATACAAAATCTAGTTAAAATAAGAATGTGGTAGCAACAATATATGACTAAAAATTTATTTTATTTATGAATAATATTGGTTTGCCTTATTCACTTGTCAACCACTACAGATTCAATTCTCAAATATATATGATAAATTTCTCTCAATTACTTTTATGAAAGGTTTTGGGTTCATGCGCCCGCACAATTGGTTCACTTTTTAAATAGTCTGTGCGGACTACTTATGAAACACCGTGTGGAGGCTTTTTGATGTAGTAGGTGATGATTCAACTCCGTAGCCTTGTAATTTTGAACTCAATCCAGGAACTCTGTATCTAATATTGGGAGAAATTTACCTTCGTGGAGAACCTTTTAATGGAATTAACCTGCGTTTGCGTTACATGGAGAGGAAATCCTTCCACGGTTAGCCTGACGACAAGCGGAATCTGACCCATGATCCGTCTAAAACTGAAAATATTTTACGTCATCACTGCTGTCGG